TTGAATCGTCTCAATCGAATATCGGAATACAAAGTTATGATAAAAACACTGAAAGAAGGTGCAGCTGCCTGTTTAAAACAAGAAATTCCGTTACATAATCCGTTAAAACAACAAATTCCGTTAGTTTTTCCATTAAACCAACAAATTCCGTTAAATAGACACTTTTTATATATAGAAAGATATACGACAAAATCAACATTAATTCTAACGACGTATTTCATAGGACCCACAATTTTACAACCACATATTTTATCAATTTTTATCAAAATCTATTAAAAATCAGATTTTAAGCAGGGGCTTAATTTGATAAGTCGTTATCCAATCTAATATGGTTTGAAAATTGCAACTAATGATCGAAAGGTCAGTTGATGCTGATTTGGTTGAAATACTTTCCACGAAACTATTCAAATTAAAGACGTAAGAGTTTTGGACTTACACTTTCAGATTTTCATTTTTGACAAATTTCTACCGTTCTCGATAAATAAAGATTAAATGCAAACAATTGTACGGACTGGGAATTGTTAAGTCAAGTCTACATACGGACAAGTAATTATATCTAGAATTTGTTGAGTGTACTTTCCCCTATCGATCAAGTTCTAAATACTCAGAAAGAGAACAAGAAAAACAGTAAAACGACTATTTTATTATACTAATTTGATTGAGTTGAGGGATTCTAATGGAGTTCAATTTGACGTCGATTTCATTGAAAATGTTGTGGAGAAAAATCCAAATGTATGACAATCAACCACCACAAAATAAAAAGTGAACAACTGTGGAGGACAATAAAGCTTAGGAATCTTAAATAAACATAGCATCACATGCCAACATTAATTGCCTGAAAAAATGGTCCTAATTAGGGCTAATAATATTGTGGTGGTAGTGGTATTTGGTGGTGGTGTTGGTGTTGGTTGTCACTGTTGTCGTCGTTGCATTGGTGTTGGTAATGGTATCGCTAGAGGTAGTGGGGAGATGGTGATTGTGGTCACAAATTATTTGGTTGATTGTAATCAATGAATTCGTTGATGTGTGACTAATAAATTGGTTAATGTGTGACCAATGAAATACATAATTTGTGATTAAAAAAATAATGTGTAATCTAAAAATTTGTTTAAGTTGTGATCAATTAATTTGATATTTTGCGATTATGAAATAATTTGTGACTTCTGAAATTTGTGGTTCATTGGTTTGCGATTAAAAAAAATTAATATGTGACCTACTAATTAGATAAATTTGTAATCGAGAAATAAATTGTGACCTATAAAATTTGTAATTTGTGACTGTTATGTATGTAATTATGGCTAATACATAATCATGATCATAAGTTATATAAAATTGTGACATTTATATATTTAATTAATAAAATATTATTTAATTATTATTTAATAAACAAGATTTTATTAATATCCGATTTTCGAAATAATAAACCGTGTTTTTTATATTTGAAATGGGTCATACTTAATGTTTGACTCGTGAAATTTTTCCTAAAAAAATGGGAAAAATTTATGGTTCAGGGGTTTACTTTCA